ATCACTCATTTAAACGTAGAAGTGATCATTCCCTCTGTAAATAGCTATTATATTTTATTTGGGCCAAAGGCCTTATATAAAAAATGAAATAAATGTCCTTGGCCAATACGTGCCAAGGAACGGAAACTTACATTAGCAACTGCTGCTGAGTTAAATTCAATTAAATGTTATTCACAAAATAGAGAATTACAGATGAAAATAGCGTAGGTTTATGCATTCATGTCTGGAGATACCATAAGCAAAGTCGAAAGTAATGACTGCTCCCTGATTATGGAGTTTTTATTATGTTATCTCTTTCATCGTAATCACCAGCTTCAATTTATTTCAAAGGGATTAATTTTTAGGTTTTGTAGTTTAGAGAAGCTTATATTTATCTTTCAGTGCCTATATCATTCCAATGGAATTGCTTTTGTTTAGTGACTAAATATTTTTTCCGCGTTGTTTTGTGCATTTTATGAGTTTCATTCATTTTGAAAATAAAGTTTATTTTTGGCTTATCTGTGAACGTTTGTATATCTGCCCTAGTTAATCGGTTTTTATATGACTGAATGAATTAATGTATGTATTGTTGTAGGACTGAATAAACAAATGTATGAATGAAAAAAAAATCCATCATGTAGAATATCAGACACTGTTACTCTTTAAATTCCTTACTGTTGAATTACCAGATTGGTTAGACAATAAAATTCGATTTCTTAAGTATGGAAAATACAACAGCCTCCCACGTCAAGTTGCACCGAACAGTTCCTATATCATGAATGTTGAGGAGGGCGCAAAACTAAAAGTTGAATGTGGAGTCAAATATGACGCTGAGCTTCGTTTTGAGCCTTTTACTGGTAGCACTCAACTACAGGTTCATGGAGATAGAGTAGTGATTGGTTCAAGCAAAATATATTATGTAATTGACTCACTTGAACATTCTGGAATCTACACCTGCTGGGATAAAGACGACCAAGACGCCCCGCCCATAAAAGTGGAGATTCGGGTGGTTGATCGTAAGTATTAAATACATCGACTCCTGTTTCAAAATAATCAGAGTGTACTGCAATGTTATTTAGCATAACGTAGTTGAACCAGGCCATTATGCACTGTATAAAGTTAAAGGGTCATCTTCATGGACATAGCTATAATGAGGGGACATTTTAACACAGATCGCGAGGTGTGTAATTACGAACCAATGAACATAACTGTATTTTGGCAATATTCACTATTATATTATTATTTTACATACTTAATGTAATAATATTTCTATGCACTCCTATAATAATAATAATAATAATAATAATAATAATAATAATAATAATAATAATAATAATTTAAGCATTTATAGAATTATTAAAATACATCATCCAAAATGTTAGTTTATTTTAGCCTATGTTTTTAGGAATTATTGTGAAATGTGTAGTGTTTTGTATTTCAGCAATCTACTGCCCAGCACCGCCGAATAGTTTTGAACTTTATTATTCATATACAATCGCTGATGGTATCAAGTTTCCACTGAATGCACAGTTGACATATTCCTGCCCCCCACTATACAGACTGATAGGTGAAACTCAGCTAAAATGTCTTTATGATGGACATTGGGATTTTGAATTTCCGCATTGTAAATGTAAGTCTAGATTAACAATCTTACTGAACCACATACCTGTCAATTTCATAATCTATATACATTATGATGATGATCAAAATTAGTATGACAACAATTACAACAGATCTCACTCAGTCAGTGCAACACCTAATTGAGGATACGATATGTGATAGAGCACAGCTTAAAGCTGGGTTTCAATACAATCGCTACACGCTATGTTCGACTCCGTTTGGCGACGCTGATTGGTCAGCTAAATCAGGGAGCCTTCCCGATTACGTCGGGGACTGCTACGCAGTACAACGATTGCACTGAAAACACTGTAGCGAAAGTTTGCGATTGTATGGAAACCAGGCTTAATGTGCTTAATTATGTTTAGTAATGCATACTGACAACATTCCATAAATATGGTAACACACTTGACACCAGGGAATAATAATCAAGCGTCAAATATGTGACAGCGACAAGTTAAAATAATTTTTATTATTTTTGCTGCCACGTTAAAAATTGGTTTTCATACAATCACTACCGGTATACGCTATCGCCGACACCCATCGGCGATGTTAATTGGTCGGTCGAATCGTGGAACCTTCCCGATTGCATCGGCGACTGCAGTACAACGATTGCACAGAAAACTCTGTAGCGACAGTGTAGCGATTGTATGGAAACCCAGCTTAAATCACTAGCTGTGATTAGCAAGGAAGATTCTTTTAAACTAGATGTCAGTTTTATCGCTGAAGTCATTGTAAAGTCAGTTTTAACTACCTACATTTCGCAGCTTTGTTGTGTGATAGTCCACCATTGGACATTGACCATGGGATTGTAATAGGAAGTGGAACTGCCGAGAACACAGAAATTGGAATTTACTGTGAAACTGGTTTTTATATACCAGGCACGGAGGAAGGCTGGCTTAAAAGTGTATGCACGGAGGGAGAATGGGTGCCAGCTTTACCTTCGGATTGTAAAAATAGTAAGTAATCCGAAGACAGGACAATGTAAAAAAACCGTAATATTGCAACTTGATTTGTCTTCATCTGATTGTGTAAATGTTGTACATTATTCCAGCAATATCAAAGCATTAAAGTAGGCCTAGATGGGATTCTGATGAAGATAACAATTACGGTGCATTTCATATTTTCTGTCAGTTTGTTTACAAATGGACAAAACGTATGTTTTGAATTGATTGAATGATTAGAACATTCATACTACGCAGTACAACGATTGCACTGAAAACACTGTAGCGAAAGTTTGCGATTGTGTGGAAACTCATCTTAATGTGCTTAATTATGTTCAGTACCGTAATGCATACTGACAATATTCCATAAATATGGTAACGAGCGTAAAATATGTGACATTGACAAGTTTAAATAATTTTATTATTTTTGCTGCCACGTTAAAAATTGGTTTTCAAATCGTTATACGCTATCGCCGACAGCTATCGGTGATGATAATTGCATCGGCGACTGCTACGCAGTACAACGATTGCACTGAAAACTCTGTGGCGACAGTGTAGCGATTGTATGGAAATCCAGCTTAAATCACTAGCTGTGATTAAAGTCGAACTCCGGAGGAAAAAAATGTTTGATATGTTGTAGAACTGATTTTTCTAAAACAGAAAAAAATTGGGGAACGGTGAAGGAGATACAGATTTTTTATTATTTAAAAACTGGGAGGTAAATGGGCGTAACCGCCCATTTTTACACCTTTTTTCCCCCAGTTTATTCAAAAATGTTTATCTCATTCACCGTTGCTCAGTTTTTGATCAAACTACTTGTTCCTGTCCTAGAAAAATCAGTCCTACAACATATCAATTTTTTTTCCTCCGGAGCCTGACTTTAAGCAAGGAAGATTCTTAAAACTAGATGTCAGTTTTATCGCTGGAGTCATGTACTGTGAAACTGGTTTTAAAATGCCAGGCACGGAGGAAGGCAAGCTTAAAAGCATATGCACAGACGGAGAATGGGGTGTACCGAAAGCTCAGACCTACGAAAGCTAAGACCTAAGATTACGAGATATCAGACCCACTCGAAAATTAAGACCCTCAACTAAGTATGCCAGGATTTCTGGACAATAATACCTTTATTCGAAAGCTAACACCAATAGGCCTATATAAAACTGACTAATCATGAAATAAACACCAGTAAGTATCAACGACGTTTAATGGAGAAAACAAATACAGTACCAGTACAAAAAAAAACCGTTGTACGTGTACAGGCTATTCGCACTCCACGAAACCGTACGGTACGGTTTTGATTCATTGTCGATAGCGGTTTCTAATGCACATCGTGAGAATATCCGATGGGCCTATATCGTTCTCGCTCTTATATTTTTACCATGCTTTGCATCTTTTTAAAACATTTTAAGTCGTTTTGCTGCTTTTTATGATGTTTTGGAAATTGATGTCCAATTTTCATCATTATACATGTTTCTTTTGATGCCAAAATCTTCTTTACTTTGTTGTATATTCGGTTTCAAAATATTATATAATACAAATATAAAATTACTAAAATCAGGACCAGTGGCGGATCCAGCAGGGGTAGGGGGCATGAGGGGCCCCCTCCCCTCCCCGTCAGTCAAGCCGAAAAATTAAAAAGAGTGAGAAAAATTTGAGTTAAAAAAGGAAAAGGTGTACCGGGTGTCCCGAAAGCTCAGACCTACGAAAGCTAAGACCTAAGACCTAATGTGTGCCAGCGTTACCTTCGGATTGTGTACAAAGTAAGTATACCGCCTAATACAGTAGCATAACAGTTGTGTCGTCACAACACCAGGTGGCGCCCTTTGTTGTCAACTAAACGTTCGTTACCGTTCATTGTGCCTGGATAACTTCATAATCTTAATGGTTTAGAATAGGCTTTCTGGAATAGGCATTTTAAAACCTAATAAATTACCATCAAAATGTACTAAAAACACAAAAGCTCGCATTATACATTAGTTATTTAACACACATTTAATCACCAATTAAAATTTACAAAGAAAAACTAAGATACAACATCTAAATAAATACGTTAGGAATTGGGATCAGTGGTTTGTCCGTGGAGAAAATGGCGTCCGGTTGGCGAATTCTTTTTATCGTAGGTAAGTTGAGCATAATGAATTATTCATTTTGTGTGACTGAAGGCTTTACTAGCGCATGCGCAATCTCGCTTCCATGGGCTTTGCTCGCTGTAGCTTTTTTACGTCGCGGTGAGCGAAGGTTGGGTTATCGGTGGGATTCACTTAGACTGGGTTCCAGTCCTTAATCTTTGTCTTAATCAGTTGAAATGCTTAAGAATAAATCGATTTTGGCACAAATGGCGTTCCGTATTACTTATTTGCATGGCGTTCCATAGTATACTTTTTCTGGGATTAGACAACTAGTAATAAGCCTTTTCGCAGTTCCGACTGCGCATGCGTCAGATTGAAGACAAAAAAGTCTCTGGAAATAAACAACCACGCTAGTCTTGCAGACAAATTTTCAAAGTATGGAACTTTCTTACCTTAAATTTTGTATATATCATTTCTAGATTTTCAAACAGTAACATTTAAGTGGTAAATATATACTTTTTTTTCATACACATAGTAGATTTGACTGAAATATTTAATTTCATTGCAAATAAGGTTGTTTGATCTAGGCCTACAAAAGTCGAGTTTTTTCCACAAACCGCATGGTGGTACGCGACGGGAGGCCTGTGCCTCCTATGTAGCTAAGTATGAGCATGAAGCTCGGCGACCACGGTCTGGCGTAGCTGCGAAATAATTTTGTATTGATAATCAACTATTAGTCATTTGTAGTATATTTTTTTTGTATTCATTGATAGGCCAAGTTTATTTTTTAAAGTCAGTAAAATGGCATTCAATTAAAAACCATTTTTAATATTAGTAATGGATATATTAATCATAATGATATACATTTTAAACAGTTCCTTGGTAAATACAGTTATTAAAAAAAAGAATTATTTTGCAATTCATTATGATTTATAAATATTTTAATGCATACTGTACTTGTTTTGTTTTAGACTGATGATTTAATCATAAATTATGAAGTTGTGTCCAGTAGTAGGTTGCAGCAACAGCTCATCATATCACCTAGACAAGTGGAAACAACTTGACTGCACTAAACATGGAAATAAAAATGGAAGTGGATGTTGCGATTGCCTTCCACCATTCAGTTAAAGTTAAAAGACAAAGATGATTGCTAACCTAAGGATCCATGTAGAGAGAGCAATAAACCGATTGAAGGACTTCCAAATCTTGAACTCTACATTACCAATTACTCTCATCACAGTATCTGATGACATAATAACTGTGTGTGCTGCTCTATGCAATTTGCAACCAGATCTAATTTCTTGAATGAAAGTAACTGAATTGTAATTAGGAATGTGTAAATAAAATAAAGGAAAGTTTCTCTTCAAATAAATGAAAATTGTGGAGCGAATATTGTCAATTTTCTCTTTTTATTACAATTACTACACTGGTCAAAATGTTTCCTGTTATTATTTACTGTAAATAAATACTGTATGTACATATTTAGAATTTATATTCAGTTGGCAGCATACATTAAATAATTTTGAAATAACTAGTGGTTATGAAACTAATAAAATAATTATATTTCATGGCTAATTGTAGATTTCTTTATTGCATTGTAAATTAACTCTGGGGCAATGAACTCAAAAATAAATTGTTCAGCTTCAGACATTGCCCTAGTCCACACCTCATGGTTGTATTCAATACGCTGCAAAAAGTATCCACCCTTGGTATATATAAAAAAAATCGCACCAGTTTCTTTTAGTTATGCCCATTTGTGCTTGAATTTGATAATAGTATTGATGATTTGGTTTAAGTTCAAGTTTTTTATTTGTAGTTGCATACAATGCCTCCATGTTTTCTTCCGTGGGTTGATCAAGTGCTATTGTACGTGGACACTTTATTTCCAGTAGTCCCTTTCCACAAGAACATTCTACTAATGCATCTGGGGAAGCCCCCATAAATATCTTTTTTGGATGTACAAACAACCCACATTCTGAGACTTCAATATTCACATGTCCTTTTCCTTTCAAAATTTTTTCATACAATGATCGTGCTATTGGTTCAGTAATCCTCCCATATTTAAGATTTGGTAGGTTTGGTTCAATGGGGGTATATCCCATATTTTTTTTAAAAATTGGGATGGGATCTTTACTTAAATGTGTATTACTATGGAGAGTCTTATTTCTAGTAACCACAGATTTCAAATTGGAAGCAGTAATACGTCCAGTTCTATATTTTGCCCATTCAACATTCTCTGATTGTTCCCGAGTTACTTTTTCAATGGCCATAATTTCTTCATGAGAGTAAGTTGGCAAGTTATTGATAAAATTTTCAGGTGACTGAAAATTGGCTGCAAGTAGTTGTAGACTCTTTGGAACTGCTATGTTATGCGATGTTTCTACCTCCACTTCAATTCCTACATTAAAATCCTCCTGAGGGTTATAATTCACGGCTGTTGTGGACTCCTCCAAATATTTCCATATAGTTGAATCGCTGCAGCTGGGAAAAAGAGCAATTCTTCATTGGGTTAAAAAGCTTTCGTGATTCTGTATTAATTGGCTGCTGATTTCCTATATTGAAAAAAAAGAAGAAAAAAATCATTTGTTAAAACAGGCTTATTTCGTTAAATATCATCAGCAACATCAGGTTGCCTGTTTATAATAATTTACATGTTTCAATGTACTGATGTTTAAGTTTTACATATGTACTACAGTATAACAAAACTATCATGCCTTGTCAAACAAGTTGCTTGTGAAGCACTGTACTGTAGGTTAATCACGATTTACACAAGATACATGCAAGGTCAATTTAATATTGTACAGTTGTTTTTATGTTTTTGTAAATTTTTTATTTTGTAGAATAAAAAAGCCCATACCCTGTTTATAGTAGTTTGGCTTTGCCCATTGCATGTCAGACACTGGTTTCCCTTCAATTATTTTCATCCTTTTTGCCCCTCTGTAGACATTCCAACTGCAAGTTTTTGATGTGCATGGTACTTGGTTCTTGGAAACACCAGTCATAAAAGCATGATCCAGCTTGAAGATCACGGCTGCAACATGGTTACATGAAGAACCAAGTCTAAAAAGAAATATACAAATCTAACTTTAAGTTTACATAGTTAATTCACAAATATAATATGTTTTTTTTTTTAAATATAGAAATAATAACTAACAAGAATATCGTATTTACACTCACCCTGCAAAACAGCTACAATATGCACTGCATATTTTCACCGTCTTTTTTTCAAGAGCAACCCATACAGAATGTGGTGTATTCTTAGTTGCCTGTGATGGTGTACATTGTGCCTTAACAAAGCAAAGCAGATATTGCTGTCATCCGAAATATTATGATAAAATATTTCATGAAGCCATTTACTATCGAAATAGCTATATGCTTTCCCTTCTTTGTAGTCCGATAACAGTCTATTTTTAAGTGAAGGTGTTTTCGCTTTCCTCTTGGTCGGTTCACTAACACAAGGTGCCTCATTTAGCAGCCAATCTCCTATCTCAAAATAGGTTACAGAGGGCCAAAAAATCACCCCTTCCTTTTCACTTACCCACCCATCTTTTAATTCATGAAGTGGATCCGGTAGTTTTTTACCATCTACGTATAGTAGTTCAGAATATTGAAGACATCGTGATCTTTCTTCGGCCACTTCATCCGGTTTGACCGCATAGTTAAGCTGC